GTTTAGGGGGGATAGGTTTGCTGCACTACAACTCTTTTTTAAATGAACAAACTCATAGAGGAGAAATAAGTAGTGGCTGTGAAACATCTTAGAAGAGGGCCAAAGAACAAGGAAGGAAGAAAGGTCAGATCGTTGATGTGTTTTCAAAATAAAATAATATTGTGTCATCTGCGGAAAAAACTGCCAATTTTTCATGACAGTAAAGTCAAAAATATCAAACACATACTGGTACTAAAAGGAAACACAATGGAAATATATTAACACCACTGCCGTGGCATTCAAATACAGCTGAAAATCTGTGTATTACTGTATATTTCAAAATAATCTTCTCCATTCACTGTCATTCAACTTTGCACTGTGCTATAAACATGCACTCCTGTTGGAGTACATAGTGCTACCATCTAATATGAAGAATTTGAAGTTGTGTCACATGGCTGCTACGTTGTTAAAGTTTCATATTTTGTGCATTATTTTTAGTTTTTTGTAATCATACTTTAAACAGTTAAAATATTGTAAAACACTGACTCCATGGAGCACAGCCCCTCTTCAGAAGCTACTAGATGCTCAGGTAGTCAAGAAATGCCCCACCTTTTTTTGAACCTGAAGGTTTATTACTGTTGCCAAGAGCCTACCATCCCTATCCTGAGCCAGATGAATTTAATGCATACCCTCCTACCCTATGTCCTCAAGATTCATTCTAATATTATACTCCATTCTATGCATACACAGAGTGTAAAAAAAGAGCTCTGTAAACAGAACATGGACCATTTGATTCATATGTTGGTAAATTCTGTGATTTTTATTTTCTTACAGAAGTGCTTAACCCACATGATGAGTGTAGATTTTCACCTTAAAGTTATACACCTTTAGGAAAACACTAAAAATAATGGCACAACAAAAGGGCTAATAGAAAAACTCAAAATCAAGGAAAAGACAAAGACAAATTATAGCATATGACACATGATACATGAGTGTAACACAAGTGTCCTATAATTGTACATACTTTTTCTGATAAGACATTTCCCTTCTCATTGACTGTCAAGGTAAGGACATCTGCAAGTGATCTTTTGAGTCTGTTCAGCATCTTAAAGGCTGCCTGCTGCTTGGCTTGTTTCTTGGTTCGAGCAACCGCTACAACAATATTAAAATATAATTTATTTAGATTCAAACTTTCCTGCAGTCAATATAATGTTTACTTAACAATTTACACTCTGAAGTAATCAGACAAAGACTATATCTGAAGATCTTGCTACATGAGGAATATGGGCAGTAACATTCCATGGCCACTTCTTTCTCTTGGTAAAGAATTTCCAGTGTCTTTTCAAACAAATGTCACCAAATATATATGGTGGAGAAGGAACACACACAGACACTATGACTTAGCAAGACTGTTTCTTTTACTGAATATAGATTGTAAGCTACAGCAGTACCACAAGCAAAGTGACCTGTAGAGAGAAGCATATATCTCCTTAAGTATAAATAATAAGTCACTGTCTAGCTACCAAGTGAAACACAAAACTGAATTTAAGTGCATCTTAACATGTGTGAGACTATGAAGCATGAAGTGGTATTACTCATTCTGAGACTGTTAGGACACTAAGAGAACAAGAATTTTAAATAATATAGTATGTTACAAACGAAGTTTAAATTTGTATAAATCAGAAGAGAGGTTTCATCACAACAAACAAAGACAATGAGACCTCCTGTTGGGTCTTTCTTTCACATTCCCAGACTATGAAAACTACAGCAGAAATAAGGTAATTCTGTTTGTGGTATTACTGTAAGAGAATTGTACAATTCTTTCATTGAAATATGAACTCACCTGATTCCTCAAGTTTAGACACCTGACACATGACAGTAAATTGCTTTGCATGAGGTGGGCCCTCATCTCCAATCACCTTGTAAACAGGAACCTGTATATCATTTGTCATGCACAGTTCTTGCAGTGCACCCACAGCATTCTCTTGCAGCTTGCCCACATATGGTGATGTCACATATGACACATCTATCATCTCACTGGGGATGGGCTCGGGTGATGATGTTTCTACTTCATTCAGTCTTTTCAGGATACATTTGGCAGCATCGTGTTTAGCTTCCTTTTTGGAGCGACCACTGCCAATAGCTACCAAGACAGCCATATTAACAAGTAAAACTAATGTTGTCTCTCTCAATATGTTTCAGTACAAGTAAGGCCATGACTCTTGATTGGTCCTCTAACTTAAACCCCCCGAAGTGTTTTAACCCTTGAGTAAGAAACTAAACATTTCTTAAATAGTTTTATGTTGCTGGTTTCGTAGTTGTTGATCTCATTGTGAAGCGTTATTTGTTTACTCGGCATTGTTGTGGAATACAACAATGCATTGTCCGAGTAAACAAATATCTTTTCACATTGTTGATGACGTCATTTTTTGACGACAAATTGGTTGACGACGACAAAATCAGAAATTTTTATAGTAGAAGAATATTATAAGTTTTAATGATGCTCACAATAGCTTAAATTATGCAATGTCAAATAATAGGGCAATGAGTGAATAATTAATTTAAAAAAGAAATGTTAATGGCCATGGCCAAATTTAAAGTAGTAAAACCACCACTTGCCTGGAGTTACTAAATAAAACTATAAAAATAAACACCAGAATTAAAATACCACAGCTCATAAGTGTACACATCCATCATAATTTAGACTTTTAATTGTTGGTGGAAGATTATTAAATAACTTGATACCTGTATAGTATGCTCCTTTTTGATATTCAGTAAGGTTAGCATTTGGCACATAGAGATCATGTTTACATCTTGTATTTAAATTATGTACATCTGTATTTCTTTTAAATTTATCAAAGTTTTCCATCACAAATGATAGCAAGCAGAGTATAAATTCACTTGCAAGTGGAAGTATATTAAATTAACGAAATAATTTTCTACAAGAAACCCTGCCTTTAACACCTGCCATTATTCTAATCTTGGTCATTTGTTTTGGCCACTTTCTGTCAAGTTCCCCAACAACAATCTGCATCACTTCTTGACTTCCACAACTACACTACACATCAAGCCCCTCGATTTCACATTAATAAGGCTACGTGACTTTCATATGAATTTCCTCAATGTGTGATATACTAAACTGTCCTCTTACTTCATAAATCTCATGTTCCATTTTCTCATTAACACTTTACAGTATTAGGTAGCAGAGAAATATAAGGCTTCACAGTATTAAAAGCAATTTATATGTACCTGTAGTTTCACCAACTAGCACCCGGTACTTGAATAATGCTTCGTGCGATCCCCCACCATCATGTATCAGTTCATATTGAGGTAGATTGCCGTTGCGAATACACATCTCCTGGAGAATCGACACTGGTGTTTTGCTACCCATTTCATTCCTTAACATAACATATTATCCTTAATATGCAACAGCAAATACAGAAGTAGAAGGGCAGTATATCACGTATTATTAACACCGATTACCGACCAGCGACTGAATAAGGAATGGTGATTGACATGCATCTTAACCTATTAATATTTTATCGTTTGTTACACATTCGACGTTTATACCTACCTAGTTTATACCAAAGACAACATGCAACCGCTCAGTTTCAAACAAATATCTAAATTTCGGTATAACAGATTACCAACAGGTACAATATACTCCAGTACTTACGTACATAGATCGATTAAAGATAACGCATGTGAAACCTTTCCACCACCTTACGCTGCCATCGATTTAACCGACTGCATTCCTTCGTCACTACTAGTGCTCTCTCGTGCCAGTTCGTGCAAATAACTGCCCGTGCACCTCACCTGCGCTGTGCTTCAGAATACCGTTCTCTAGGCTGCTCCCCACTGTAGAGCAATCAGGAGAGCACATTTCGAGAGAGGGCACCCACCGGAGTGTTAAATAATGTGTTCCAAGTACATTATTCTGCAAAATTGTTTCGTACAATTGCCTTAACAACCGGTTAGATCTCAACGTATAATAAACTACAGCAGAATCGACACACAGAGCAAATGTAGTGGGAGTACCCGTATTTATTTATATCTATACAAAATGTATATGACTTATTTACATCCTTGGATTCGCCCTGTGATCAATACAATATAAAAGGATCTAATTCAGCTGCAGGAACTTGCCGTTAAGTACACTGTAATGCACTCGTAAGACTTCTGTAGAGAAATCTGTATAGATACACTTGAGAACAAAAAAAGCCAGGCCACATGGTAGAACCTGACAAATTTCAGTTCTGCCAATTGATGAATAACAAAACAAGTGGATGGGAAGTGGGGCTTTGTTCTTATTTACACCTTTCAAAATGCCTTCCTTTGAACAAAAAAGTCTTGCTCATTTATTAGTTTGGTTCTGCCTGAGACCTAGAATAGAGTAGTGGGGAAGTACATGTGCTGATGCAGTAAGATAACATTCATTGTTGAATGCCAGTTATCCATGATATGAAGCTTTAAATTATTTTCCAAATAAATTTGCCCTTTTTGGGAGGACTTCTCAGGCATTGAAATAGACATGAGCTATCCTGTGACATCCCTTAAATGCATGGTACGGCAGACTCAAAAACTAGTTCTGTTAAACTTCCAAAACATTTTAGGTGCTTGGAAGGGAATGTGTAGATGGGGAACTTTCGTCATGTCAATCAAGAGACTGAGGTATGGTCAGGATGCTCCATCTTTCATTTAAAGCTATATAGGTTATGTAACTGACAAATCATTTAATAAATTAATAAACAAACAGTGACTCATGAAGTTAAATTTTAGGTGAATTAAATTCAGTATCACAAATCTGTGAACACTTCTTCTTTGATTATAATTACCAAACTAGCAATCACCATGAACAAAAACATAGTACCTTCATTGAAAAAATATGTAGGTATACAAATTTGGTCAAGAAAACAAGGCTTTAAAACATTCCATGAGGGGCAAACGGTTCTTTATTCAAATATGGGCAAACCTTAGAGAACAGTACAATTTCACAACTAAATTAAAAAATACAATAAAATAAACACAAGTAATGTGTGACATATGAATGCTCCTTTCAATTCAAACTCACAAAATAAAATTTTTCTGCTAAACACATGTAACCTTTTCTTGTATCCTCCATCTACCAGCACATCCTCAGGACATAATATGGCATATTTAAATCAACAAAAAATAATGAAATTAACATAATCTGGATGTTTTAATATAATGAATAAGTAGTAGCATGACCAGCTGAGATGATAGCCATTGCATCTGAATTCATATTGCAGTAAGACCATATTTCAATGTTTTTGTATGTCTATTATAAAGAAACTTAGTACTTCACTTTCAAAACCTACTCAGGCTTCTAATTAAATCCTAAAATATACTGAAATTATTTAACAAGAGAAAATAATCTTTTTGAACAAAAAATATTGCAACTCCAATAATCAAGGAAAGCAGTAAATGTGCTTGTCAATGACATTCAACAAAACTTGAACAACTATTCTTACAACTAAACAAATAAAAACTGATTGGTGTTTGCCTGTCTGATCCAATAGCAAAGGCACACAGACATGAGCTACATTATATACCAATTGTACTGATGTTTAAAAACAAAAAAAGGAAACAGTGAATGGATTCACACAAATTGAGCTTTCCTGATTAACTAAAGTGGAGACAATGTGTCTTCTGTTGACAAAATTCCATACTTACATGTTAACTGGAGTTCAAATTTTATTGGTTAATTATTATTTGATTTACTACTGACAAAAATAAATAAATCAGCATCAAATATGAAAATGGTCAGAGTGAAGGCCTGTACACTACAGAAAATAAAGCGTGTCTTCCAGTTGTGTGCTTGGAACCTTATGAATGGCCTGCCCCACAAGATATGCCAACTTATGTGCATACTGACAAGGGGCAGGCACTCGCACTGTTCCCTGAAACACCACAAGAAACAAATGTATAAAGGAATGTCATTTACACATAAACTCATGAAAAAGGTTTATGATTGCCTTGTGACTAACAAAATTCATCACCTGAATGGCTCAATCATATGTTGACATATACAAAAGTGCATATTGTATTAAGTTAAGAAATCAATATACTAATAAACATGATGATTTCTATTTAAAAAAACTTTATTCTGGTAATATATTTCTATGATAAAGTGCCATTTCCATTGCTGGTTAAGCCATAAATTGTTTCAAGTACAGCAGACTCTCAGTTACCTGAGAGCAGATTATCTGCTATATGAAGTTCTTGGGTTATCTATTTTATTAGTCATTATTATCTATTGTAGTTTGATTCTATGTAGTCAGAATTATGATTTTTATCATTTTGTGTGTTACTGTTTATCTTATGCTACCTACAGTCTTTCTATAATGCAGAACCTTGTTTTTTTAAACAAATAATAATGGTTAAAGGAAATTATGGAAACATAAAAGAAAATATTAAACATAGAAGGAATATCCACAATGTTGGAAAATAAGACAGCTTAATTACTTTGAATATCTATAATACTGGATTTGCTAAGTTACTCATAAAATCTGCAGAAAATATTTGTATCTTCAGCAGTGGAATCATCTGGAAAGTGAGAAAAATGTCAAGTTCAAGCTATAGAAAAACTGTCAACTGAATTAAATGACATCATTTTTTGAAGCTCTGTTAATGAAATAAAAATTGTGAAACAACTTACACTCCAGTTAAAGTAGAGATGTGTAAGCTTATAGGTGAGCCTTTGAATCTTGTCAGGACCCAATTCCAAATTGTCACTGATCACATTATACGATGTTGGGCTCACAGTGCCCTGGCGTACTGACTGTGAGACCAAGAAGAAGTCAAATCTGCATCAAGCAGACATTTTTTGATATTAATGATATTTTATTAAATTTCCCGTCTTGTGATGTAAAATATAACACCTCTATATTGAAGTTAGAATTGTGAAATACTCTCATAATAGACACCCTAGTACCTGTATTTTGTAAAATTGAATACAGCAGTACACACAGTAGATTAAAATTCATTATATTTTTGGACTTTGCCCATCATCTAGGCATAATTGAAACCATTATGTTTCAGAAGTTTGTTCTGCTTCTGTCCTCAGGTATAATTCTAAGGCCTGCTAACAAGTGATGGTACATGAAACAGCTAACATTTTAAAAGCTAGCAATAATACAACATTTTCTATTTGCTAGAGGTAAATACCAGAATAGAATTTTAAAACAAGCTATGACCTCTTCCTTCTAGCCCAATGAAAATGGAAAAGCAGGCTTACAATATTATCTCATCAATACAGTGAAAGGGAATAGCAATACAATAGCCAGGATCCTCTAAAGGTTCATGGCAATAGTCAGTTCATTACAGGAACACTATGTTGTATGTTGTCTGTTGTTTGAGGTATATTTGATATGTGTGATGTCTGAAGCATTGGCTCTACTGTAGTTAGAATTCTAGCCTAGCTTTAAAATCACCCAAGAGTTGATCCCAACTGTTGTCACTAATAATTCAAAATAAATGTCAGTATAATGACAACCAATCGCCTGAAGACAGAAGTACACAGCCACCACCTGAAATGTAGTGTTTATCAAATATACCTCAAACAATGGACAATGTAATGAAAGGATAATTTATCATATAGCAACTTGCAGGTTAACCTTCAGTAACCCAATGTGCAAGAAAATTCACGTGGAAAGATGACTTGGAAGAACAAGGTAACAGACTGATGGGTAATATCTTGAGGAGAATGGATTGAAATGGCTCAGAACTAGATCCTGTGATAGACATTTGTTATTGTAATGATATGGCACATGCCACAGTGTCATGGTTCCTTGCTTACCTCTCAGGGAGAGTTATGACATCATCAACCACTGTGCCTGGAGGTGGGTTGTTCCCATTATAGAACAAGCGTGTGTTGATGCGTTTGGTCACAATAATGAATCCCAGCTTGTACTCGTTCTCTCCATAAATCTTTGCAAGTCTTGCCTGAAAATTTACAGTTCACTGAGCATATCTAGGAAATTTCAAGGTTTAAACTCTCCATCATCAAAACATTTTGTAAAGGATGCCTGAGAACAAGGTGATGAGGGCAGTAGTTTTAATAAGATTATAATAATATGAAAAAATACTGCAATCATAATCAGATTTATATTTTAAAATCATTTTTACATAAGGAAAGTAAGCTAAAAAAACTACAAAATAAGATGAATAAAGTGACACTTCATAACATAATCAGGTTAGAAACAATTGGATCATACCTTGAGTATAGCAACCTCATGTTCATAGACATAGGGGATCTGCCCCTCTCCCACACCATCTCGATAGAGCACAATCCTTTGAGGAAGATACCCATGGTTGTATTCTCTATACTTCTGTAAAGCCTCTGTGAACATATTCATAGACACCCAGCATCTCATTAATATCAATGACAACCAAATATCATGGTTGAGTGGTTTGCACTCCTGCTTCATATTCAGGAGATCCCGGGTTCAAATCTCAGCCTGGAGAGCAGCTATCCTGACTGGTTTTCCTTAGTCCCTCCAGACAAATTCACCTTTAATCAGGTCATGACCGTTTCCTTCCATATCCTTTTCAATTCATTATTTACTATCATTCTCTATTCAGCGCTACATAGTCTGAGCTACTGAAAAAGTGTTGTTAAATAAACTATAAATAAATAACAATGAGTGTCAAAAGTGTGATAGTGTCAGTGTCATGCAAAAAGTCACTACCTACATTTTAGGTTTCAAGAAGAAAAAAATTTAAAGTTCTTCCCAAAGCTGCATCTAAACAGTACTTAATGAAATGTCAAACTCTGTTTCTATGATATGTAAAGGTATCAGTCAGGTGGTGACATCTTCTGCACATGCATCTGAACAAGTTCAGTCTGTGCTGTTTAACAAAATTTTGATAAAAATGTTAGCTAATGTATTTTCCATTACAAATACCATGACTTAATTGTTAAGTTATTGAACATTATTTTCACAATTTCTAAAGGCGCATGACATAAAATGTAATATGAGTCAGAAGACCGAATGAAGAGGAATGGGTGAGGAAGCAGAAGTGGGTAAATATAGAAGACTGTCCCAACATAATGACAAAGGATAACCACAAGCAACATTAGTAAATCTGGACATGTACCTCAAAAATGTAATAACACAATATTGACTAGTCAAGATGTTAAGGTTTCTAACTATGATACATTACAATGCGTAAAATTGTTGTTTTGGACTTTGTCCATTGTCTAAACTACAAAATTATAGAACTACAACATTTCAGAAGTTAGATTTTGTTTGTCTTCAGATGAAAGGGGGAAGAGAATAGAAAGCCCATCTGCTGAGCTCCCTGGCTAAGCAAGCTATTTTAAATGGTCAGAAATAAGGAAATGCAGATAATTTAATAAAAGTGTATTAACTACAAATAACACCATATATCCTTAACCTTTACAAACTGGGTCAGTGCTTACATGTGATCCAAATGGCTGTACATCACAGTAACACATTGTTAAACCATCAAACACATAGTAAAAGTCTGGCCAGCAGCCTCTTAGTTCAAAGTTTAAATTCACTGTTGCCATATGATGAAGGTTAATGGAGTTGGTTATACTAAGATAAAGGTGCAGTAAAGTTATCCCTATGTCCTATAGATAAACATATATTCAGCAGAAGGCATGGTGTTCAAACACCATGTATTCTCAGTATTGATGAAGATTTCCATTAAATAGAAACATGGGTATGTTCCACAGTTTTACTGAATGCTTTTTACCCAAACAAAAATCATTATTTTCTTGCAGTGCACTTTCTCCATACATAAATTATGGCTAAACATGTATAAATTAAATAGCACAACCATTTAATGCACAAAATGGAAGAACATTCAAATCCATTTACATCTACTGCAATTTGTACTCACTACAGATGTTGACTGATAACTCGTTGCTGAGTTCCTCTCCTGTGCGGTGGAAGCTTATTGCTGAGAAATATCGACTCATAGGTTTGTCAAGTGAGGCCACCAATGCACCAATTGACATCCCTTGTTGTAAGGAATCATGGTACACATCATACCCCACTACCATCAGGCCCTACAAGATACACAATAATTACTGCAGTGTGAAAATTGAATAAAAAAACCAGACTTATTTGATTAGGAAATAAACAGAAATGGAAAAATGTTAGCTTCAAACATGTGTGCAGACATTACTTATGTTAAAATTAAACAGAAACAAATTACTCAAAATCAGATAATGATACAATATGCTTATATGTATATACTTTGTATGAAATATATAATAGTTATTCCATAAAAATCTATAAATTCTGTGTAATACACTTTACATTTGAAGTAACCTTAAGCAGGTAAAGCAATATTAACAATTTACTGATATGATTTAGTAAGGGTCACTTATGTCATATTTCATTAGAGTGCAATGAAGGGTTTAAAATATGAGATTTGAGAATTTCATGGTGGTAAATGTTTCTATACAGTCATCTGGGTTGTGACACAGTATAATTACATACATGTTTACCAAAGTTCTGGAAGAACTTGTTTCTCCATCCACAGGGTACAAGTGAATAAAGCTGAAATGTAGGTGGCCTATATAGGAAGAGTGGAGGGACCAGGCCAATCAGAGTCAGGATTAAGAGGAAATAGAACACTGGGCCAATGAAAAGTGGAGAACTCACCTACCTGTAACTCTAAAGCCTTCCTTTAAAAAAGTTAATGTGAGGCATAGTATGTCCCCCCCTCTTAATTAAGAACTCACAGTAAGCTGCAAGTCCCACTGTCAGCCATCATCTTAATCTTCACTATCATCTTGCACTGTGGAGTCACTGGGAGACAAAGGAAACTCTGTCCATACTGGTGCTGCCATATAATATGTGGATACCTACTTTCAACTTTTCCAAACAGGTACAGGCCAAGATAAGGAATAATCATATCAACAAGCACAATTGATATGACCTGCAAAATCTTGGTTGATGTAGTCACAAGAAATATATGATAATGTATCTTCCAGAAGTAGAGACTCACCTGCAGTGGAATCTCAACTGTCCAAGGTGCTCCTCCAATCTTGCAGTTTATCTGGATAGCAACTTTGGATGCAACAGACTTGACATTTTTGTTAATAAGAGTCTTGTGAAGAATCAGCTGTGTGGGCACTGGGCAATCCACACAGCACTTCTTCTTGATGACACTGTCAACATACAATTCACTTTTAGTTCTGTGACTGAGTAAGTTAGCTTGCGTGTATTAGTTTGCTTTCTGATCATACCTGTATCGATCTAGGCGATTGTTTGGGAGAACCACAAAAATAAGTTTGGGATTACAAGACAGCAATGCACTTTCTATGCCTTGTACATAGGTAGCCAAGCGGTCATCAGGCAGTTCCTTGTAGGTTGGGATTGGCAAACGCAATTCCATACTATAAGCAGCTCTCCTCAACATCGATTCAAATTCCCTGGCAGGTTTACTCAGATGTCTTGGCACAATCACTACCCACGAAGTCACTTCCTGTGATACCAGCATTGCATGTGCTGTAACATAGTTAAAAATGTTTCTGATAAACACGTTTGCCAAAACAAAGCCTACTTTTTTAATCTCCAAGTACCACTGAGTCTGTAAGGTATTCCTAAACTTTTACATATAAAGAAAGAATGCCTAGAATGCACCCTACTTTTCTTGGATGATTTCTTGTTTTCATACTAACTAAACAACAGAGCCCTTCTTGAGAAGTTGATAGTATGCTCATCTAGTCAAGAAAACTCCCACTTATTATGGAACCCAACAGATCATTACACTGCATACATGAAACCATCACCAGTCCCTATCCTGAGTCAGATGAATTCAATCCCAATTCCATTTTAATATTATTCTTCTATCTATGCCTAGGTCTTCTGAGTGCTCTTTTCCCTTCAGGCTTTCCAACCAAAATTTTGTATGCACTTCTCATCCCACAGTGCACAACGTATGTCCCACCCACCCACAAAACCCTCAAACTCCTTCCGAAAACAGTCAAGTAGTATGGGTCACATTGCTTTCAAACAGACAGACAAACCAAGAGCCAAGCATGGCAAAAGTAACAAGTTATTTTAAAAGTTCTTTTCCATAATGCAACTTAACATTTGACACGTAAGAGTGACTTATTAAAACAACGCAGAATTACTCACAGCGTAATTCTCTGGTCCAGTCACTCAGGGGACCAGCATCACATTTGACCTGTGTTCCAAGAATGATTTTCTCATGTGGCATGATACGACCTGATAAGGTCATGAGACGGTCACTCATTTCCATGTTCCAAGACTTCAACTCTTCAGAAATCTAACAGAAAACAACAGGCAGTATTAAAAATGGATAACAATTGATCTTCCACTGGTATAATTTTTTTTGAATTTCATAGATTTTATTGGCTCTATTCTCAAGTATCACATGCTTTGAAGAATACACATTACTGCTTCATATCAGAAATTTCATAACATATTGTATTTAATAATCATCTCTGCATGACATTTGTCTCTCATTACTGAGATAAAGTAGCAGTTTCCATTAAGAAGGGTGAAGTCAGAATGACATGCCAAGTGTAACACTTGATTATTATCCATATCACATAATAAATTCAGTCCCACAATTTCTGACCAAACCTGCCTTTTTGGCATAGGAAAGGTATAATACATAAAGCCATCAAAAGGAATAAATCAAATAACATGGCCATAATAACATATCTGTGATCCACAATGTGTTTTGACTAATTACTTTGGTCATCATGTGGACAATATACAGTATTTAATTATATACTATTAATTATTACAAGACGGATATTCCAATAAACCTCACTAAGAATGGATAAATAGAGAAAGGAGTTGTGCAGAATGTAGTATGCATATAATATGTGCAATGACAAGATTGGTCAAGGTTCACAAATTGAACTTAACAATAAAAATGATCATCAGATTAATAATCTGACAGACATCAATGTCCCCATGACAACATAATTCCAACCACTGTAATTACTCACCACATTGTTGGTTTTGAGACGTCTATTGAAATGCTGTAGCCGTTCCATACGCTGCGATGGGACAAGACGGGTGCAATCAGCTAAGTCCCTCATTAATGGAAAGTTTGTCCGCATCTGTTCTGACAGACCAGTCATGCGACACAGCTCAGGCACGAGATAGATAGGAGTATCACGCCCACGCTGGCGTTCGTGCTGCTTTGGCATTGACACCAACATTGGCTGTGACCCATCACTTATTTTCAGGTCATATTTCTGCATAAGACAGAGCACAGCATAAAGAAGGATTCTGAAAGCCTAATCTCTCAGATTAACCTCCTATGAATGAGAACAAATTTAAATATTCCTTTATATAGACTGATCAAAAAGTCACATTCCTGACATGTTCTACTTGTTGTAATTACAGTGAAACCATAAAACGATAGACAATGCTATATTAAGGGTTGGAAATTCACTCTCTTCCTTATGTTTGATGTAACCTGTGTAAGAGTTTCTGCAGTGACCAGAAATGGTTCACCAGATGAGATATTATCAATTTGTTTGGCACAGGAGAATCAGGAAATGCATTGCTAATCTCATTCTGGCAAGTTAAGTAAAAGCAGGATGCCGAATAGTGTTTGACAAAGACACTCATTTCATTTGTGAAAAATACATCCTTGTAGTTTGACTGTTTGAAGACAACTGACAGACTGGCATGATATAACATGACGTGACCTGCATGGGCCATTGTATAGTCACAGTGATATTGTGTGTTTGTTAATCAAATAAAATTGTATTGATTTGCAGCCATCAATAAATATTTAATATGGGTTACGTGACTTTTCAATAATCCTGTATAGTCCTATACAAAATATCATGTGCTGGTTTTTATACAGTTAAATTAAATTGCATAAAAATTCTTGGATTGAAAATCAAATACTTATTTTCCTCATTAATAATAATATGTTTTGTCTAAATGAGTTCTAAAGTTCTCATGGCTGTGAAGACCCATAAGGTACCTACTTACAAATCCACATGGCACTACAGTCTAGAGGACTAACATGAAACGTTTGGTCTAAAATATTTTTTTACTTGCAAATCCTTAACTACAATATAGATATTTATTTGTGATATCAAGGTAAATGTCACATTTGTTTAATATCTGTATATTTTACAAGTGTGTATAATTTTGCAGGGTCACTCTGTGTAACAGTTTTATAATTAATAATTTGATTTCTTTAAAATATAACAGATAATTATATAAAGTTATCATTTAATAAGCAAATAAAAGTTGTATGTATTACAAAGATCCATATTTTATGCCAAATATAATTATTTTGTTTTTATTTAATCTATTTTGTAAGCTGCTTCATGCTGTAACCTACACAATACAAATTATTGCACATCAATTGAACATAGATGCAAATGAATATAACATTAAGATCTATACCATCAGAACAAAATTTATGGCACTTTGCTGCAATAACAGTAAAAAGGAAGCCTACACCACAGAAGGGTTATGGAAATAAATTTACAAACTTGCAATAAAATAAATACCATTATTGAAAGAAATTTTGTTAAACAAGTGTTACCAGAAAAAATAAAATTTAAAAAACTACAGTAAAAGTAACTTTGGAATATGGCACTAAGGAAAGAAACTTGAAAGTAGCACAAATGAGATTCCAACAATTTACTATTTAACTAGATTTACCTACCTTATTAACACAATACACAAACCTTAAAAAAGTACTCTGCATATGACGCTTTCTTCCCATTCCATTCAAATGTGGAGGAAGGATTCACAGAAAAATCAACATCATCCACCCGATATGTTCTGTTATTATAGTCAGTAAGAACAATACTTCCCAAGATCTCATGCTTGAACAGCCGCTGCAACAATCACAGTTATCATCAACACATTTCATTAAAACTAACTCTTCCTTGTATAAGGCAAACAGCATTATGCTTTTAAAATGTGCTTTTATAGCTTCATTACTGTACTTACATTCAAACCCTACCAACAGTTTTCATAAAAAATATTTTTATAATTTTAATCCTTTCATAAGTATATCTCCTATGCCACTCTAGTTATGAAGGTTTTGTGACAATGGTTTAGTACTGTGTGCGCGCGCACATGTGTATGCGTGTGTGTGTGTGTGAGAGAGAGAGAGAGATTAAAAACAATTCAACATATTCAAATACAAATGATCAACACTTTCTAAACTGGACCTAAACTAAAATGTTTTACTGCATTTTAATATTAGCCTTGTACTTAAAATTTCATTAAAATTCCTTGCCAAAGCATATGCTTACCTGATAGTCACTAGGGTCAGAATTGTAGAATGTCCTGAGTAGATTGTATGCTGTGTCCTTTCTCATCACCTTGTGTGTTATTTCGGTGCAAAGCAGCATCTCACTCTCATGCTGTCGAATTGATGTCACATATCCTGGCCAGATTTCCAGCTGGTGTTTATTCAGTGTTATTCGAGCTGAAGAATCAAAGTAGTGGCGACCAACCTGAAATTACACAACAGAAAGACAAAAATACAAAGCTGTAAGTCATCAGCCATAACAATAAAAGCACAGTTTTACCTGTGACTAAAAATTGTATCATAAAGGCATACAGAAAGTGAGAAGGTAAAAAATTCATGCATTCTTAAGCTTGGCACTAGATAGAGGTGAGTGGTCAACTTCAAGCTAGGGTTACTTTACTTTCAAAGAATGAATAGCCATGTTTGACTAAAACCAAAGAGACAATACAAAGGCGCAGTATTCATCACACTAACATGTTTGGTATCAGAGGATCATGGTCTGATCTTCTTGATTATGATGATGTGTAAACACTTATCAGTGTTTCAGGGGAACAGATCAGCTCTAAATTATACTCTAAAGATGGAGGCGATATGTTCCTCTGAAATGTTTGAAACTACCGACATGGCTGCATGGTGTCATAACCCAGAAGACCACTGTACTCATTTTCACCACCATAAAAGCCTAAAATCTCATATACTGGTATGGTACCTAATTAAAAATAGCTAATAATCTCATTCTCATTAGGTAATGATAAAAACTTGAAGATGACTGTCTTCTGTGCTGTTAGGCCTTGTAGTCTGGTGGATGAAGGCAGCAAGAAATCTTCATACTCACCACCATGAAAACCTGAAATCTCACATGATAAAAATTTATAATAATGTGAAAACTCACCAGCTGAAGGTTTAGATTGTCTAGGCAGCGTCGCATGAGAAGGTTGAAGATGTGCACATAGTGGTAATCCCCACATGTAACAATACCTACTCCTCGAATTGTGATGAGCACTTTGGCACCATCTGAGGGCCTGTTTGAGAAAATTACCATAGGCTGAAACAGAGGAGAAAAGTTTCAATTTTATACTTGCATCATAATGTGTTGCCCTCTGTGGACTAGTGGTTAGTGTGCTCGCCACTGGACCCAAGGTTCGCAGGTTCAAACCTGGCCGAGGTCGATGGATTTTTTAGGGTGATAAAAATCCGCAGCACGACTTCATTCGGAGGGGAAGTAAAGCCGGTGATTCCATGTCGTAGGTTTACGGCAAGTAAAAGAACCTTACGAGCATGATACGAGATATTTCATAAACAAAATTCAGCGACCATTTCTCCCCTATATCTCTCCTGATTCTCTACAAGATGGCTCTAGGAAACAAATCAGGATTGAGTATAAATTGTGCAGAGGCAGTGGGCTTGTCACTCACTACACAAAAATGCACCCAACAAGACTAATAAGAACAAGTTGCCTCGAGCAACTGGCCCGGGATGGGTCAATAGACCCAATCCTTGTAGTACGTAGTTGATGATGATCATAATGATGATACATTATATAACTTTAAAATTTAACATACTGGCAGGGATGCCAAAGTGCAGAACTCTTCCTTTTTTAGAGACAAAAATAACAAAATAAAAATTAGATAAAGCAGACTTACATCTGGATGGTACTTCTGAGAGGTAAAAAGCACAGAACCATCAAACAAATATCCTCCAAGCTTTTCCTTGTTATCACGAACCATTTTCTTTTTTATAGCATTACGATCTTCTTCTGGTTGAAAATCCACTCGATACTGGTATAACTGCCAGTTTGTCACAGTAGGCAGTTTGAAATAATTGGCATGCAGACTTACAACTTGTCCTGTAGTACCTGAAAAGGAATTAATGATTCCTCTAAGCACATGCAAAAACTGTAGAACAAGAAAAGGAAACATGGAAATGAGGTTAAGACAGCAGGACAGACTTTAAAGTTTTGCAATCTGCATTATGGAGTTTTTGGAATTTGTCCATAGCCTGGTATTCTAAAAACCCACATTTCAAAAATCAAATGATTTCATCCTCAGGTGTTTAGAAACGGGTCCTATTCTGTTGGGTCCAGTGGAAAGAGCTAACATCAATCACTCCAGTAATTGAGGTTAGCTCTCTCAGTCCAGTGATTAAAGTTAGCTCTTATTAACAGACCCACACCTGGGGATGAAAACAGATCCAGGTGTTGTTTTCTATGGATATAAAGCTTGGACTTACCATAGAGGAGGGACATAAATTAAGGGTGTTTGAGAACAAAGTGTTGTGGAGAATATTTGTACCTTGGTGACAGGGTATAAAAGGAGACTGGAAAAACTTAAATTATGAGCTTCATAATTTGTACTTATCATCAAATATTATTAGAGTGATCAAATCAAGGGAGATGAGATAGGCAGGACATGAACTGTGTGTGGGAGAGATGAGAATTTTACACAAAAGTGTTTTGGTCACAAAATCTGAATGAATAATAACCACCAAAGTAATCAGAGATGTATAATGACAGAAACAGATGGGGAAATTTTTTAAACTAAACATAAAATTAACCAAGGTATTTGGGAGGAAGAGTAGCATAATAATGATTGTGATGATGGTCTTGATGTGATGACAATGCTGATGATACAGTAGTAGCAGCAAAAGGAGCAGTAGGAACAACTGTACAAAAGTTAACAATCAAATCAAACCACAGACTAAATACAAATCCATAAGTCCTCAAACATCACTGATCATTTATTTTCATTATATGCATCTAAGACACTACAGCTTCCTATGTCAAATAAGAGCTCCCATGGTTTATCTCAGTTCCTGCAGAAAAATGATTAAATGGTTCACTTTTAGGAAATACAATTGTGTAGACTGTGGTAACCATTACAAGGAAATATAAAATATCTTGAGATTTTATGTTTTCTTAATACTAATGAAATAGAGAAAATGAAAGTCCCTTGAAGAAGGCAACAACTGGTTCCTTTAAAATTATGTTAGGCAACTACAATACCATATAGCATTTAAATCTAGAAAGTCAAAATCCAGACAAAATTATTTCTGACCTTTCTTATCAACCATTCCTTTTGGTTTAGTCCATACAATTGGTTCAACTGCCCAAGATGGTCCTTTCTGCATCTTCTCATGCTCACTAGCATCACCGACCTGTTCCATAGATTTTCCACACATCTGCACTTTAGGAGAGATTTTGACATCATCTAAAGTAAAAAAGCACACAATATTTATAGAACATTCATGGTTTTCAGTACAAGTATGTGATTTTCACCTTGTTCAACATGCAAGATTCTTCAAACATATATTTTGTGCAAAATGTAACACAATTATTATTAAATCTGAATACACCATGTTCTCTCTCCTTTGAATAAAACTGCAGACACAAAATTAAACATTCAATCTTACTCACCAATGCCCATTGCAGCTAATCCCTTCTCTACCTTGAAGCTTCTTGCAAAAATACTGGTGTGTGCATCACCTTCATTTACCTGTACAAATACATTATACGGTGAAGCAAGATGACTGCAAAGGAGTATGGATGTGACATAAGCCATTGTATTTATAACAAGTTTTGCATGTTTGCGTTGGAAACATAAAAATCAAGATATTTAAAGCAGCACCTGATTCCCAAATATCATTTTCCAATATGACATAAAACAGAAAAATTATATTTGTTTACTTACATCACTATTTGATTTTCAGATATAAGTGCTTTAAATATCTGTCATCTAAGATCATGTTATTATTAGTGGCACAGCTGGATAATGGACTAGAATAACATAAATCAAACATGCAACACCTCAACAGTTGTATGTTAACAGAACTTTTATATACTGTTGCCTTCAAGATAGTAATGGTAGAATTGTGCTTGCAAACTGGGAATATGACAATGTTATTCTTGTAGGCTGTGATGCCTGGAAGATGGAAAAAATATGTTTCTCCAAAACACTGGAATCTACATATCAGGCTACACAGCATCACAACTCAGAAGAATAAACAAAACTGTCACCTTCACCACCATGAGAACCTCAAATCTCTCAACTGAGAACATGTCACATATAACTTAGGTATTAAGTACAAAGAATAAAAGTGTTAATAACAAGAGTCTTGCTGGCTGTCACTCACCTTAGTGGGTTCTAATTCCATCTCCTTCTCTTCATCTCTGTCTGTTTTGGTGTACTTCAGAGCTGCCACTTTCATGGTTGGTGAGGTAAGCAAGGGTATACCTGTTACTGTATGATGAGGCTGGCGGACAGGAATTCCATGAACCAAGACGTCTGGGCGCTTAGCCCTCCCTCGGCATTTACCAAGGGGCTTAGAATTTTCTTCTTGGACACCACTCTGCAGTCTACATATCAAATCATAAAAGGATTCACTGACAAAAAGATCATTAAAGACATTGAGAGCAAACTACCTTTGATTTCAATATTTATTATAAAGTGCATGATTACATACAAGAGTGAAAGGTACACTTCATTTCATGTTATTCAGAAAATGCATTAAAATTTAACTAATACCCAGACTATAGGTAATGATTAATTAATGAGTTTACAAATCATTCATGACTCTCATAATGAATTACAAAAGTTTCAAATCTGCATTCTAAGACATAATATTAACACTGACTCAGCAAAATGTGTTACATTTTATGTAAAATGAGGTCACAAAATCTCCAACTTTACTTATACAAAATCTTACTGCTGTTTGATAATGCTAGAAACATAACAGCAGACAGATTTACTTTTGAGTCCCAGGAGACGAGAGAATTCCACATCTAGTCCTTCCCCGGGCTCTTCCTAAGGGCTGTAATTCTTCATGCTCCATTTTTGATCTAGACAGTTAATCATAAATGATATCATAGGCATACTCACTTGCATTACAGTACCTTTTAGCAAATGTGAATACACATACATGAGCAGTAATGCTTCACCACACTAGAAGTCATAAACATTAAGATGAATTCTATTAAAAAATATTAAATTAACATAATTTAGGAGCCTTACTACTCTGATGCAGGCAGTACATTCCTCTGAAACATTTGTATCTACCTACGAGTCCATGAGACATTACAACTCAGAAGACTAACATGGATGGAACTGGATTTCTCAATTCTAACAATATTATGTTAACGAAGTAAATTACATAGTTCATTATTAAATATCCTAACTGCTCACTTAGTTGATCTTTTTTAAGTCCAAATACTTTCCTAAGCATTCTACTTTCAGACACTTACATTTCATGATTTTCCTTCAATTGTTGTTGGAACCCAAGAGTTTAATTTATAATATGCACACATAAATGTCCCCTCAGTGATAATTCATGGGTGTGCAATGAATATGAATCTGTATAGTATGAATCTCACAATTTCAAAATAAAGAGCACATTGCATGAAGCATTAAAATCAAATGGTATTTTTCTCAAAAACAGTTTTAACACTACTTATCATATTAACTGGAGTACATTCTTTATGATAGATTATCTTCTCAAATAATACTGCAGACAGAACATGACATAAAGAGAAACTACATGGCAACCAAGAGTCATTTTTCTTAACAAATCAGTAATGGATATGAGAATAATAAAATTTTTCAACATTAATTGCAATGAGTGATTGGCTGCTGCACAGGTTTTTTTGTAATTTATAATACAGTCCAAATGTTTGGATTTATATTAGATTGTGGTGCACTAATTACATGTAATTTTAACCTGTCACACAATTTGCAAAAAAAATGTAAACTAAACTTATAATTAACCTAACCTATTCATTAGCAAATCCATATCCTCTACACCAGATTTAATGGTTAAACTATTATAAACTGGCATTCAGAAATAAGGTAATAGCAATTCTTCATCATATATAGTGGCCATACTAACATTAGTCTCAAAAAATTTGTTTATTGTGCACAATGTGAATGTGAGGTTTTGGTTCCCAGAGATATCTTACCCCTTTTGTCATAGCACTTTTCTTTCTGTAAAATAAATGATATCTTACTGAGATTATTTGATTACTCTGGAGGGTGCAGGGCATAAATCATGCCAACATGGCATTTACAGTTCTCTTCAAACAATGAAAGAATCTATTATAAAATATGAGTCATAGCTTTTATCTACTTCTGATTTATTTATAGACGAATAAAATACTTATGAATTGACAGTATTGTAAATCTTCCTAATCGTAATGAAGACAGGCTGTTATTGATATACTTATTTATTGATGTTTATTGATATTAACAATGCCAACTACTTTCTCTAAACTATTTTGTTACATTTTTGTGATAAATGCTCTAAAATTCACAAGTAAACCATTAAGTTATAAGATTTAATCTTACGTCTTGTATAGGTACTCTCTTCTCTCTCTTTCTAGAACTTCTACTTGTATCATTCGTTACATTGTTGGCGAGTAACGGCTTGCGATGACGTATATCATAACTTCTATATTGAAACAATATTTTCTTCCTTTCCACAGATGAGGTAATAATAAAATACAATACAATAATAATATATTTCAGAATACTTTCGGACTTTATATTTAATAGCAATAAGAAATCTTTTTCAATGAAAAGGCCATATTCAAAATTGATCATTGCATTCAATCTTTCCGGTAACCTGTCATGTTAAAAAAAAAAATTAAAACCCCGTAAGTTTTGATCGTGTTATCTTATATAGCTACGGATTTAAAAAATGCTATTACATTTTCTTATAAACAATGGAAATTAACAGCATAGCAATTGCCAAATTATTTACTACTCTACAATGAACGCCAAATCACGTGAAATACGGAAAGGTCGTCTGAACGGTGAACCTGAATTCGTAATTCATTACGACCGTTCGAACCGGTTCACAATTGCTCCGACATAACGTTAGAAAACTATGGATACTTTTAAAATTATATGCATTACAAAATGAGCTTCCTTTTTTAACCTGTTTCAGTTGCAAATATTCGAAAAACACCATAAAACTACGTAATTTGTGAAACATCCTACCTTTGTGACAACTCTGCACTGTCGCGCACGCTGTTGTCTGCTACAACAGACTTTCAAATTGCAGACAAGAGACGTTGACCGTTCGACGGCAAAGCTTGAAAAACAAGGAGCTGAAATAAAGTGCAATTTCGAATGTACTGTGAAACAATGTGTTCTAATGATTATCCGGACTATAGATGACCCATATACGTGGAAGTCTTAAGATCACTGAAATTGCAGAGCACTGTTTCAACACTGTTGGGCAGGAAACAGTAATTCCTTTTTATATTAACGAACACAAGTTTAAAAATTTGTTTGTTAATTTAACAAAGTGGCCAGTATTAACAGCAGTGTATATAAAATATCCTTGTCACAAGTTTTTTTTTCCTACACTAATTTTAAATTGTGCCCTTGATTTCAGTCTAGTGACATGTGGGTTCTGTTTATTTTAACAAACAACTCACATTTTTGGCATAATTAAAATTTTCCAACATGTATTAATTAAACTGTATGAGCGTATATGCTAAATAGACTATGATCGAAATGAATATTAGAATGATTAGCATTTCTAATAGTTACACAGCTCCAACAGTGGAATTCGCTATTGGGAGACAATCATATAGCTAATCTTGAACTACATCGTGGTCACTAGGCCTAGTGACAGATGTAACAAAAGATTACACAAAGCATGAGTTGTAACCACTTTCATTTGATACTAAACTTTGTAGTTAACACTTTTGTCTGTTCTTCCATGCTGGGCCTACCTTACTGTGGGGCAGCCACTCTTGGTCCCACCCATTGACAATACGATATATGAAATATTTAATGCACAGCATCATCTTAAGAGCCAAAGAAGTAAAATTGTAACACAAAAGTAAGGAAAATGGTACAAAAATAAAAATCTGCATCTGAGAACACGTGTTTGTGCCCTGTGACTGCTCCCTTGTTAAAGAACTAATCTGATCAAAGGTCTGTAGGAAACAGACTTTTTAATATGGATCTGATACTAAAAGAACATGCTTCAGCACTGAAGATGGAGAAAGTATGTTTCACCAAAACAATGGCATCCACCAATGAGTCTACACAGCACTAAAACCCAGAATATCATCTACAAATCTTATTTAACTGCTGTATACATAACATTTAATTTACACATACTTTCTGTTTCTATTTCAAGATTCAAGTTCCAACTAGCATATTATTATGAAGACAAGTTCTGCAAAAGAAAGTTAGGTTAAACTGCATCAGAATAGTAACATGTGTCTTGATAAAAATTTGAGCTTTGAGTGTGCCTACACATTGAAAGAGAGTAAAGTAATCACAAATTTAAAAACAGCAGAATTCCACCCAAAAGTCAGTTTTTAACAGTTTGTAAGATTCTTCCACAGTTCCATCTAAACTTTCTGAAGTTGTTTCTTCACAGTGCATGTATCACTGAAACATGTCTGCACAAATGATGTTTCTTCCAACTTGGACAAAACAGTCAGCAAGTTATTACCTATTCTATTTGCTTTATATCCTTGCTGTGTGCTTCAGATCCCTTTAACATCAGTCCCTCCCCTCTGTGACCAGACTTCATATTCCGCCCATTCAAAATGACACATGCAATTTCTAAAACATCCTTACTTGACTATCAACTCTATTACCAGCAAGGTAAAATAGTTCCTCCATGGAAAATTTCAATTAACTTGTATTACAGAACAGCTGATAACCAGCCGTGTCATATTTATTTAAGAAATTATAAAAATGTCAGGATATGCATAATGGCACAAAAAAGTAATAAGTAACATATACAGTAATATTTTAACGGGATGTAAAGGTTACGGATAGAGGTAGATGAAACACAATGTCTTCACCATATTGCACAGATCTAAACACATGAAAGTAGGAACTCATACATATAAATAAATACCTGTTCTTACACCAGTAAAAATATTATGTTTGGGAGGAAATTCACTGCATACCACAGGCATGTTACACAACAACAAAAAAACACAGCAGAAAACAATGGCAGCCACCCCAGTTCCCAAAAACACAATTCCCTTAAATTTAATTGTGCATATCAAAGTTAAAATCAGTCAGCATTTACACAAACACCATACAAACTATTCTTATAATTGGCAGTGACTTCTGAACTTCATACAGTAATCCTGGAACTTTAACATCCCTACATGAATCCTTATGTAAAGCTGCAATTACATTACTCTTTTTATGTGTATTAGTAATTTATTTTATTTCTGTGATTCATTCATTCCCCTAAGAGTGAATCCTTCACAGTTCCCATGTCATATCTCTTCAATGTTTCTAAAATGCAATGTCTTAGGTTTATACAATAAATTAATAAAGACAGATACAAATATGAAGATGGCCGTCTTCTGTGTTGTAGCTCCACGTAGTCTGGTAGAAGTTTACCAACATTTCATAGGTAGTTGGTGTCTCCATCATCATGGCAAAGAGGCAGCAAGTATAGTAGTCACCAGACATCTCGCAAGCTGTCAGTGTAGGGGGAGCAGCTAAGATTGAAATATGCTGCATGCAAATCAACGTATATTAAAAAAAAGTCCCTTCCATTATCTCCACACTTCTAGTTATGCTTGGTACCAAGATTTAACTTCTAGAGTAGCAGTAATACTGGAGGGTGAAGTGTGCCAAGGAAAACACAACAGAGGTAGTATTCATAGCAGGGCTCAAGAAATAATTAGAGCAGGCCATCAGTGTCAGCAGTCAGTGTTTTACAGATGAGTACTGCAGCACCAGGCTGCTATGAATCTTTACCCCCGACTGTGCTAAATCCACTGCAGCATGGGAACTAAGGAGTGCAAGCTCACAAGATATCTGTCAACTACTACACATTTGAAACATCAGTAAACTTCTAAAATACTACAGGTGCTACAATCCAGACGACCGCCACCTTCACACTCGCTGCCATTATCCAACTATATTTCACCATTTACTCATGTACTCTACAATTTCCTTCTGAAGCACCAAGCAAAAAACACCAACAGATTCAAATTAATAAGGATGGTGCAGTCTTCTGGTATAACAATTTCCCACATTAATTAATGGTAACTCAATTGCCAAATATTTCATATCTTATTAATAACAAACAAACAAACATAAGCACTGGTCCCATCTCTGTTCAAAACTTCTCAGCACTTCCAGGAAAAAGGAAAATCAGGACAACAAATGGATTCCCTGAGGAAGTAAGAATGTCATCCTTAATTCACTTTTAAAACCTCTGAAACTTCAAACTTTTATATAAATTTATAAAAGTACAAAAAAAATAGTTGTTTATTTCTCTTAGAAACATTATCTCTTTGAACAGAACAGAACAGAACAGAACGTAAAATATGTATGGAAAAGCCATATCCAAAACAATGCTGTGGAAACGGCTGTTTTAACATATCAGCTATTTGTACTGTGCATATCACAAACATACAAAATGAGCTTCCTTGATTAAAATATAAAATAAGCAAACAGACAAACTATAAATGACACTAGTGCCATTTATAGTGTTAATAGTTTGTTTGCTTATTTTATATTCTAATACACTAAACTGCATGCAAAGTTTTAAGCTTCTTGATTAAGTGAACTAATTAAATAACTGAAGTAATTGAATTAAGCAGATCAAAAACTGACTGGAACAGAAATACATCCACACCAATGAAACTGTCCTGGCGAGTGGGTAACAGATCTTTCCTGGGTGCTGCATAAAATAGAGTAGGTCTTCCAGTCTTGAGCTAGGAGCATTGTGAAGGGCCTGGCTCACCAGATATTCTAACTTGTGGGCATACTGACAAGGAGCAGGCACTACACGGTATGGAAAGTTTTAAGCTCCTTAATTAAGTGAACTAATTAAATAACTGAAGTAATGGAATTAAGCAGATCAAAAACTGACTGGAACAGAAATACATCCACACCAATAAAACTGTCCTGACGAGTGGGTAACAGATCTTTCCTGGGTGCTACAGAAAATAGAGCAGGTCTTCCAGTCTTGAGCTAGGAGCATTGTGAAGGGCCTGGCCCACCAGATATGCCAGCTTGTGGGCATACTGACAAGGAGCAGGCACTCGCACAGTTCCCTGAAACAACACAGAAATCAAGTCACTCACAATATCAATCTTACGACATAAAATTAAAAATTGCACACGAAAATACGTTACTTATCCAAATACCAAGCATACATTTTTCTGAAATGTCTGCATAAAAAACCCAGACACATCATATTCAAGGTTATTGATTTGGGTAACACAGAGTGCAATGACAATGAATTCACAAATGCAACTGTAAACCTGAGATCATCATTCACATGAGCTCTACTAAGCATTCTGTGAAGCAAAGAGCCCAATTTTAAAAACTTTCACTTTTTTTACACACAGCAAACATTTTTCTGTACCCAACAGGTCCAAGGTTTTGTCAAGATGATAGTTTTTGCTCAACTGTTACACACATACACACCATGAAGAAATGCTGTTTTTGACAGCCGACCAAAATAAAATAATGCAGACATATAACTACTGGCAATAATTGAAACATAGCAGTTGCAATCATTTATTGAGTTAGTGTTTATGACCATTTAAGCATAATATTATACATTCTTTCACTCCTAGTGCAAATGCACTTCTATGTCAAAGAACTGTAAACAATTTTTTGTTTGTAAGACTTGAGGTTCTCACAGCGCAATAACCCAGAAGACAGAAATCTTCAATTTTTTGTTTGTTAATTACCTTGTTTTCTTTGCTGTATAAATACAGGATATCTTGTTTTATGATCATTAGACTTCACTTGGGGTAAAGCATGGCTGGGGTGTGACAATGTCCACTTACCCCCTCCAGTGCTGAGAATGAGTAAGAGCTATACTTCTGTTTCCCCTGAGTGCCTAAATCGCAGGTAGTGGGACAGCTTTACTTCTTTTATGGGGCATAAACTTGATACGAAATATGACAGGGTAAGAACAGGAGAAATGGTGTTACTGATTATTCAACATAT